CATCAACAGTTCTCTTTGTATTACTAAATATCTATAATTAGTTTTATACAAATTTAGTGTCAATTTGTTAAGTTTAAACCAAGTTTGTATTTTTTACAAATTCTGTTTGCATCATTTCATCATCCTTTGTATATCATTACCCAAACAAAAAAATATAGTGTCATCTGCAAATAAAACACATTTAAACAGCCCTGACACATTAACCAAATCATTTACATACAAAATAAATAACTTTGGTCCAAGTACAGAACCCTGTGGAACTCCACATGTGATATTGCAAAGTTCAGATCTGACATCATTTATTTGCTCAAACTGTTTCCTATTTTTCAAATATCTAGATACCCACTGTAGTGCTGGACCTCTGATACCATATTTATTTAGTTTTTCAAGAAGAATACTGTGATCACTGGTGTCAAATACTTTCCTTAAATCCACATAAATACTTTCCTTAAATGCACATAAATACTTTCCTTAAATGCACATAAATACTTTCCTTAAATGCACATAAATACTAACACAGTACTGTTTGTGATCAGCAGCAGTTACTTGTTCTATCAGTTCCATGAGAACCATTGATGTAGAATTATTAGGTGTAAACCCAACTCACTGCTACTTAGAAGGTTTTGTTTATCAATAAATTTATCTAATCTCATCACAAATAATTCCTCCAGAATCGTTGAAAACTGTGGTAACAGGGATATTGGTTGGTAATTGTTAAACATATATTTCTCACCATTCTTATAAAGAGGGACGACCTTAGTTATTTTCATGTTGTCTGGAAATACCCCGGTTAGAAAAGATAAATTACACATATATGTAAATGGCTCAATAACACAACCCATTATTTCCTTGACAAACATGACGTCCATGTTCACACAATCCTTTAATCTTTTATCTGCAAGATTTTTTACAATATTCATGATTTCTTCTTTGTCAGTTTCCATCAAAAAATCCTGCTGATGCAGCTCATGACTGAAAAACTCACATTATTTTCTACTTTTGGTATTTTAGCTGCAAGACTTGGACCAACCTTCACAAAATGATTAAATCCATTTTCAGTTTCATTCTGATCATCTTCATTTCCATCCTTTACAAAATATTGTGAAATACCTGAATTTAATTTGATTTTTCAGAACACTATTAATTACACACCATATTTCTTTCACATCACTTTTACTTTTATATAATTAGTCACTATAATATTTCTTCATATGTTGTCTTATAATCCATAACAACTGTTTTTTTTGTACCTGACTTCTGATCCTTTTGTTCTCGACTGAAAGCATGAATATAAGTAATTCTTTTTTTACAGGTATTTCTCAATCCTTTTTTCATCCATGTTTGTCACCAAAACTCATCAGTTCTATAATCATGTTCCAGAAACATCTGTGGTTCAGGTCTGTTCAACTCTGAGCTTCTGACCTGCAGGTGTCTCCTGAATATTCACTGATTTCTCATCCTGAATAAAGAACCGAACCATCAGAACCGTCTTTACAACCAAACGTGAGCCTCAGAACCAGAATCCTGCTTTAAGGTCCATAAAGACCTGCACTCTGTCCCCGACCCCCCAGGCTCCAGCTGCTGCCTCCATACAGAAGAAGCTCACCTGTATGTTCATCCCTGATGGACAGGTGTCAATCACAGCTCAGATTGACAGGAAGGGCTTCTGTGAGGGTGAAAACATAAACATCAATGCCAAGTTCGAGAACACCTGCTCCCGGATCGTGGTGCCGAAGGCCGCCAACATCGCCAAACACACCTTCGACATCAGTGGACACACCAAGGTGAGTGCTCTGCCTGTCCACCTGTCTGAGGGCGGGGCTTCAGACCTCTGACTTCTGTCTTACTGTGAACAGGTGCTGCGGCAGAAACTGACGGCGGTCCGAGGAAACCCCATAATCTCAGGAATGTGTGACATGTGGCAGGGCAGGACCTTCAGGGTCCCCAAACTGAAGCCTACACTGCTTGGCTGTGACATCATCAAGGTGGACTACTCCCTGATGGTGAGTCGTCATGACCTCATCATGTTCCTCTGATCACACAGGTGTTCCTCTGATCAGACCAGGTGTTCCTCTGATCAGACCAGGTGTTTCTCTGATCAGAACAGGTGTTCCTTTGATCTGACCAGGTGTTCCTTTGATCAGACCAGGTGTTCCTTTGATCAGACCAGGTGTTCCTTTGATCAGACCAAGTGTTCCTTTGATCAGACCAGGTGTTTCTCTGATCAGACCAGGTGTTTCTCTGATCAGACCAGGTGTTTCTCTGATCAGACCAGGTGTTTCTCTGATCAGACCAGGTGTTTCTCTGATCAGATCAGGTGTTTTTAGGTGCTGTGATCAGTTTTGATGTGAATGTGACATTTTTGATGATATATTTGAAATATTTAAAGATGAAAACAAAAAACACCTGACCCCCCTCCTCCAGATATACTGTACCTGCACATTCCCGGCAGTGAGAAGCTGGTTCTGGAGCTGCCCTTGGTGATTGGAACCGTCCCTTTCAGCGGTGTGGGCAGCAGAACTAGCAGTGTGAGCAGCCAGGCCTCGGGCAGCTGGACCTCCTTCCCCTCAGC